TTGCAGCTATAAAGCTTAAAATTATGTTCCTGATAAGAAGCCAATGTGAAGAGATACAACAGTCTACCATACAGAAGACATAGCACCTACTACTACTCAAGGAGTCTCAACCTGGACGGAACCATTCAGAACCCGACATAGGAAGCTGTCAAATCCGAACAAGAGGAGAAAACAAATTCTTTTTTCAAAATAATTGTTTTCCGTCTTAAGGGGGGAGGTGTTATGATCCCGTACTCAATATTCACATTTTCAACTTTTTATAAACAAAAGACTGGCGACGAACTCAAATTGTTTTTCTTTAGAAGCGAAGCTTCTAAGACTCCTTCTTTTATTTTATTTGCAAGTGTTTGCTCGAACATTCGAAACAGTTGACTGACGAAAGACCAAAGTAATATAGGCAAGCTACACCGCTTGGCGTCGGTTCATTTTGATTTTTAGTCTAGCTGTAATAAATTCTTGTTTATTAATATTAGTTTTGTGATAGTTTTAAGTGCTTGTTCATTACTTACAAAAAATAAAGAACGAACCGAATATAACAATATATATATAATAAACTTTTGGGTTTTTTTTTTTTTTTATATTACAACAACCATAACAAAAAAAATTTGTTTTTCTTCAAAGTGTTTAATATCAACATGGTGGTAGCCACCCACAGAGATGAGATGAGTTGTTATCCTTTTGTGTTTATAAAAAATTAAAACCGCAAATTATCAATGTTTTCCTATGTTAAAAACCATGTTTCTGCTTTTTTGAATCTATTGTGATTAAAAAAAAAAAAAAAAAACAAAAAATTTTCTTTTTTTTTTTTTTTTGTGTAAGGCGTGCACGCGTAAGTCACGTGCATTTCAATTCCCAAGAGGTGTTAATTTTATTTAGATGCTTCACTTATTAACAAACGGCCTCCTCTCTCTCTCTCCCTTTATCTCTTTCCTTGTTTTATTTTATTATTATTATTATTATTATTACTACTTTTTTTTTTCATTTTTCTTTCTGACTCGGCTTACGTCTCAAAAATTGATTGAAAGCCAGAAAAATGTATGTCACGTGACCGGCATACACAAACGGCGACGTTCATCCTCCTCATCCTTCTCAAAAAATAAAGTTCATATGGCGTTTGTATATATACACGAGAGAATTTTCCACCATGGAAAAAGAAAAAAAAAACAATGGAAATTTATGGAAAGAATACCAGACGTTTTCTTTTTTTTTCGAATAAAAATTACAATAATTTAAAAAAAAAAAAAAAAGGGGGGAAAACCTCAAAAATTTTTTTTTTCAATTTTCCGCATTATTATTATTATTATTATTAGTATATTATTTGGAAATGCAATCGTTTTTATAAATAAAACCTTTAATGTAATTTATTTAAAATTTGATCGAAAATTTTTTTTTTTACGTGTTATACCGATCGGAAAACATTTTTTTTGTTTTGTTTGTTGTGTTTGAAATAAACACGCTCACTTAGACACGCACTCACGCACGTACAAAAGAAAAAAAGACAGAGAGAATGAATAAAATAAAGCGTAACAGTTGTTGACGGGAAAGATTTAGCAAGTATTAGAAAATAGAATACAAAGCAAAGATTTTACTTAGTTTAGGGTATAAATGAGTTTCATGGGGAAAATACAAACACGGGGAAAAGAGAGAAAAATCCTCTGGTGGTGGTGGTGGTGAGGGTGGCGGTGGTGGCGATGATGATGACGACGACGGTGCTGGCTCGAGAATAAAAAGAAAAAAGAAAAAAATCGGCGGGGAATAAATATTCGAGGCACCGGCATTTTGTTGCCTTTTTCTAAAAACATCCCTCCTTGTTTTTAAATGACATAGAAAAAAAAAAAAAAAAAGGAATTAAAGGTTTTCTTCCGGTCGAGTGGCCACACAATTTTCATGTCATTGTGTGTCCGGTTTTTCAAAATTTTCCTTTTTTTAGAAACTTTGCCAATTTTAGAACTTAAAATTTTTTTTTTTTTGTTAAGTCAATATAAAAATTATGAGTGGAAAAGAGGTAAAAAAAGTAAAAGTTTTAAAATTGAACCTCTTTTCATTTATAATTATTATTATGAGTAACACGTTTAAAAAAATAAAAATTCAAATGCGAAAAATTAATGGATAAATTATAATTATTATTTAATAAATAAGTCACGATGATAATGTAGGAGTGTTATAATAATAATAATAATTGATTATGATGGAGAAAACCAATTTGAATTAATAATAAAGAGAGAGAGAGAATTATTGTCACCAAGTGAGTGACGTTTGATTATCAAATAATCAGCACCATCATCATCATCATGACGACCGCTAAAATTTTTTTTTTTTTTCCCTTTCATGTTCACTCATCATTATTTTGTTTTTTTTTTGCTTTTGTTTGTTTGTTTGTTTGTTTGTGCTGGTTTTTTTTTTTTATAAAACCCTCAAAATGTATAATAATAAAAGGGTGAAAATTAGATCAGCAAAAACCATCTCTCTAAAAAGCAAAAAATTAATATTTTAATATTCAATATTCTAAATGAGAAATAATAATAATAATAATATTAAAAAGTACCTGAAAAATAAACAAAAGAGGGGAGGGGGAGGAGGAGAGGAGGGGGGAAAAACAAAACAAAAAAAAATTGTTTAATTTATTTATTTATTTATTTATTTTTTTTTTTTTTTGGGAATAAGGAACAAGATGACGGTTTTTTGTGTTCACGCGACCACGGGGTAAAGGGGGACTAAAGGGGGGTAAGGGGGGAGGGTTGACCACGTGCTGGTAAACCAACCGTAAAGTCAAACAGGTTTTTTTTTTTTTGTTAGGAATGACTTTTTTTATTTACCTGATTCTTTCCCTTTTTTCCCCCGTTTCATCATCAATTAATTTAATTCAATCTCTTTATATATATTTTTTGCCAATTTTCATCTTATCCTTATATTATTATTATTATTATTTATAGGTAGGATGAAGTACCTGTCATCAATTTGAAATGAATAAAGTTTTTTTGTTTTTGTTTTCCTTTCCCTTTGGATTTTTTTTTTCTCAGGGAGAATAAAAATAAATATTTAATTATGAGAACGTAAAAATTAAAGTTAGTATAATGATAATAATAATAATAATAATATATCGTAAAAGAAATCTAATCCTTAAAATAAAAAATATCTCACGTTTAAAAAAAAAAAAAAAAATTTTTTTTTTTTTTGTTTCCATATAGAATTTTTATTGTTGGAACAAAAGGTCGATGAGTACTCAGAGAGAGAGAGAGAGAAAGATTTACCCTGGATAAGCCACGCGCCGACTCTGACAAAACGTGCGGCGTTTGCCCATGGTGCCAGGGGCGTGGTGCCCCTAACTCTCTCTCTCTCTCTTTCTATCTCTTTCTCTCTTTCTCTCTGTTAAATACTTTCAAATGAGGGAGGAGGATGGTAAAAAAGAAGAGAAATAATAATAATATGGTCGGAAAAATCGAGACCAAATGTTTTTCCGAGAGGAGCGTGACCGGCATTGGGTTTCCTTTTAAAATCACTTGTTTGTTTTTTTTTTTTTTTTTTTTTTTTTTTTATAAATAATTTTTTGAAAAAAAGTTTTAGATTACTTTTGATTATTTTTAATAACTTTTTCTATCTATCTATCTATCTATTTACCTATCTATCTATTTTTGGTAAATTATTTTTATTTTGGAAAAAGAAAAGGAAAAAACATTTCAAAATATTTTTTTTATTTCCCAGATTTTCCCCCTCCTCCTCCACCCTCCTTCCCCTTTGAGAACAACAATTTTTAAATTTATAAATATTAGGAGGTATATTGGATAATCAGATTTTGCATAAATATATACATAAAATTTTTTTAAAAAATCCAAGGGGGATGAAAAAAAAATAAAAAACATTTTTAAGTGATCTAATAGATGGCCACCATCTTTAAAAACATCCTGAAAGCTTTTTAACTGATTGGTATGACCAGTTAATATGAGGGGGGGATTCATCGTCAACATTTTACGAGTATTAAAGGATTATCAGGAAATGATATTGAAACTCGGATATTCACACCCCAACTTTTTTTTTTTTTTCCTTTTGAATAATAATCTTTTTTTTCTTCTTTAAGTCTTTGCCTTTTAAAAAACATGTATATATATACATAAAACCATTTGAGCTTGTCATTAAATTAATTGATTTTGTTGTTGTTCTGATTCCCTCTAACTCTAATACCCTACCCACTCACCCACCTACCCACCTACCTCGTACCCTTCACTCTTTTCACCAAAAAAAAAATAAAAATTTATTTTAAAAGGACAACCTTTTTTGGCTCATATACTATCAAGATACTTTATTGATTTTTATTTAATTTATTATCATCATTATTATTTTTTTAAAATAAATTATTTGTTATTGTAAAAGTTTTCATAAAATCATCAAATAATTATTTAATACCTTCAAATAAATAAGAGAAAGAAAGAAAAATTAAATATGGAAACATAAATAAGGAAGAAAGTATGACTGCGTTTGTGAAAAGGAAAGTCACAAAAAAAAGGAAAAAGTTTAACGAATGAAAGTGCATCAAAAGGTTGTAGATTAGGAGGTAAGGAAGAGTGGGAAAATTAAAAAAGAGAGAGAGGGGATGGTTAAAGCCCTAAAATAGGGGAAGTTTAGGGACCAGGGGTAGGAGATGAAGGAAGGTTGTTGAATAGGAGGGTAAAAAAAAAAAAAAAAAAAAAAAAATATCCCACATGCATCCACCACCAGTGAGTGGGATGGATATCAGTGTAAAAGTTTAAATGTTTCGGTTAAAATGCAATTTTTTATTTATTTATTATAATAGAAAATTTTCCGGGATTTTTCCTTTTTTTTTTTTTTTGTAATTCGTTATGCTTTATAATTCGTTACCTTTGACTCCGATATCATCAATTTGTAATGCCGATGGTGTTATGACATTTTTAAATGAATTTAAAAAAAAAGATATTAATAAAATTTTATGTGAGTTTAAATAAATAATTGTGATTTTAAAAAAAAAATGTCGGAGGAAAATTAATAAAAATTTATTTATTTATTAACAGCTAGCATACCTAAATGTGGTGGCTGCCAAGAATTGATTCTCGACAGATTTATACTTAAAGTATTAGATAGAACGTGGCATGCAAAATGTTTAAATTGTAACGATTGTGGTGGACCATTAACGGACAAGTGCTTTGCAAGAAATGGACAAGTTTATTGTAAGGATGATTTTTTTAAGTAAGTATTATATTAAATAAAACTTATAACTTAAAAGGTTTTCTTTTGGAAAATTTTTTTGGAAAATTAACGTTGATTTTCCGAATTCAAAATAATTTTTTTTTATTCGAAATAATCGGTTGGTGCACTGCATCGGACACTTTTGATGAATTCGATTTTTCTTAAAAGGTAATGATGTAATAATGGGCATTTTTGCTGTTGCTGTTTGTACAGGCGATTCGGTACCAAATGTGCAGGCTGTGAACAAGGCATTCCACCCACGCAAGTTGTAAGAAGGGCTCAAGAAAACGTTTACCATTTGCAATGTTTTGCTTGTGCCATGTGTGCCAGACAGTTGAATACCGGAGATGAGTTTTATTTAATGGAAGATAAAAAACTTGTGTGCAAGCCGGATTATGAAGCTGCTAAAACAAAAGGTATAATATAAGAACCTTTTCCTTTTTTTTTTCCCCCATTTTGAAATTATAATAAATATTTTGTTATTAAATTAAGACGGTGTGTGCCTTGATGGAGATCAACCAAATAAAAGACCAAGAACAACAATAACCGCCAAACAATTAGAAACATTAAAAAGTGCTTACAATAACAGTCCAAAACCTGCAAGACATGTTAGAGAACAACTCAGCCAAGATACCGGACTAGACATGCGAGTGGTGCAAGTTTGGTTTCAAAATAGGTAAAAAAAAAAAAAAAAAAAAATTCGGTGGAAATGAAACATTGTTTCATTTTGAAAATTAACATTGTTAATATTATGCTGCAGGCGGGCCAAAGAAAAGAGACTGAAGAAAGATGCTGGAAGAACTAAATGGAGCCAGTATTTTAGATCCATGAAAGATGGATCATCACCAAGAGATAAACTTTTAGATGATAAGGACGATTTGAGGGTAGATTTAGATTCGAGCTTTAGTCATTCCCACGGTAAAATAAATTATTAACAAAAAAAATTTGATATAAATTATGTATACATATTTTTAATTAATATTTATTGCAACAGATTTGGGAAGCAATGACAGTTATGGTACCGTGGTTGACATGGGACTAACAGTTGATGGTTCATCGCCTAGGCATGGACACTATCTTCACGGAGGATCAGCAACTCCACCATATATGTCTAGTCATTCTCCACCTCCCGGTCATTCTAGTATCGGTCATCAATTTTCTTATCAATCAGAAAGCCTTTCAATATACACAAGCCTCGGTATAATACAAACAACCATTTAAAGTGTGTAAAATATTTTTTGTTCGATTCGCATACGATTCAATTTTTTTTTATTTAGGTCAGGGTCAAAATAGTGGAATATTAGGACCAGGAACAGCTGGTCCACCATCGGACGTAAGTGATACGAGTTCGGCACAAGGTTATCCCGAATTTCCTCCGAGTCCTGATTCTTGGTTAGGAGAAAATACAACACCTCGGTATTAATTAATTCAAATTTTTTTTTTTTTTTTAAAAAGTAAAGTGATATAAAATTTCAAAAAACTTTTTTTTTTTTTTTTTGTAAAAAAACAAGTGAAATCATCATAAATTAATTGTCACGTGACAAATAAATAAAATTTTATCAGGTTATGATAAACAAGTAAAAAATTCTATTCTACCAAAATAAATGCGGGCTAATACATATTTATGTGTTTAATACAAATTTAACAACTAACGATAAATTTAATAAAAAAAAAAAAAATTATTAATAATAATGATAATGATAAATATAATAATAATAATAATAATAATAAACAGTGTGTTTAATGTGGTAAATTTTTACTTTAGTTCAATAAAGAACAATTCTTTATGTAATCAGTGTAGTTTTTATTTAAAAAACAAAAACAAAAAAAAAAAAAAACAAAAAAAATTATATAAATAAAAGATATATATATATTTATTTATTTACTTCAATATCAATAACATTTCTACGTTTGAAAATAATATGTATCATTATTATTATTATTATTATTATTATTAAAAACGAATAAGGAAATTAAATTTTTATGGGGAACAAAAAAAAAAAAATAATCAAAACCAAATTTTTTTTTTTTTTTTCCATTTGAATATTTAATTTTACTTTTTCTTTAAAGTTTCAAATATTAATTATAGAACAATCCGCCGCCAAAATAATCCCCTACGAAAAATGACGAATCCCCCTCCGAAAAAAAAAAAAAAAAAAAAAAAAAGACACGTTAATAAAAAGTCATGAATGACATTTTGCCGGATAAAATATTCTTGAATTTTTATATTCTGCTATATCCGTAATAAACTTGTTCTTGTTATTACTATCGCTTGTCATTGTAGTGAGTGAAAATTTTTCTAAAAACGAAATGAATGAAAATTAAATAATATTATTAATAATAATAATAATAATAATAATAATTAATAATAATAATAATAAATTTAACTCACTGTCATCGATATTATCTTTATTATTTATAGAATCGAATGATTGCTGAGAAGTACCCACCACCTGTCAAAAAAATACAAATCGGTTTTTACTTTCGATTTCGAAATTAAATAATAATAATAATAATAATAATGATAATGATAATAAATTATACCTGAACGCTTAATTTTTTAAAATTTAATCCCGACGAAATGTGATCTTGAAACCAATCGCATAATTCTTTATGAGTTATCGACGTTATGGCTTCAACCTTAAATAATTAAATAATAATAATAATGATAATAATTGACATTATTCAAAGACAAAATAATAATAATAATAATAATAATAATTTCTAGACCTCTCTTTTCAATCTATCGAATATGTATTCGTTAGAACATATTTCGGCAAAATTTCTTTTGACTTCATCGAGCAATTGTAAATCCGCGCTGCTTTTTAACAAACACAAAGACGTTTTCGTTTCTTCCCAATCTTTTTTCGACATGGATTTCAATGTGGTGGAAAAATTTTCGAGAAAAGCTTCTATCCTTTTGTCGACTTCGTCCGCTGTAAATTTCGAACATTGAAAAAAAACGGTCACGGAAAAAGCGAGAATTCCAAACGTGTCTCTGAGCAAACAATGAACGTCGTAACCGATTTGTTGTTTCGTTCGCAAATTATCGAAAAGTGGTTCGTCCATTATCATCTAAAAATTTAAATTTTCAAAAAAAAAAAAATAAAAAATAATCATTTTTAAAAATGATTGTGATTGTATGGGAGGAAGAAAAAAAAAAATTATTTTAATCCCCACCGTCACTAAATCTATCAGGCAAGATGTTTTAATGTCACCCGGACCGACTTGATAATAATTTGTTACGACCGAATTCCCATCGGATTCGTTAAACGATTTCAATCTCAAAAATATTTCTCCATCGTTGAGCTTAGACACCAAAACCTAAAATCAAAAAAAAAAAAAAAAAAAAAAAACTATTATTTAAATGAATAAGGGAATTCCCCTCCCCTCCTTCCCCTTATTTTTAAACAAAATGTCTCCGCTCACGTTTGGTTTTTCTCCTTCCAATGGCGTACAATGTAAAACACCTTCAAATTTATTACATAATTCGATTGCTTTGTCCTTCGATATATTTCCTTGTATTAAACCCACAATTCTTATGCATTTAAAAAATTCTTGGGCAAATTCATGAAGTCTGTCGAGAGTAACTTTATCCATGAGTGATAAACATTCGACGCTCGTTAAATAATTATTAACCAATATTGATAAGCGTGCCATACTGAATACAAAAAAAAAATTATTATGTGTTATCACATTACAGCTCGTTAAAAAATAAACTACATAAATAATTTTAATAAAATTTTTTATTTAAATAAATTATTACATTCAAACCTACGTTACCAGTTTTCGTGGTTTTAATATTTTATTATAATACGTTCTGCTCCTGTCTTTTTTAATTGCGTTAAATAAATTTTCATTATCCTTATTATTTATGTTGGAACAACTTTCGTAAATTAATTTCAATATTTCGTCAAATAATAAAGGAAGTTTTTCATTGTACCTGTTTAATAAAACGAATTTGATCAAAAAAAATAACGTTACTCTCCTTTTATCCATCTCAACAATTTATTAATCAATTATTTTACCCGCTAAATAATAATGATAAACCTAAATCTGCTGATGAATATGAGCAATAAAGTCCGGCTTGATTTGCTGGAAAAATGTGTTCGGTAAATTTCGTTTCTAAATAAGCAATTAATACGTCTAATAAAACCGAACTGAAAGTTAAATTAATAAATTTTTTTTTTTTTTTTTTTTTTTTATAATACAATTAATAAAAAAGGTATATTTATTTTAAAATTAAAAACTCACTTAAATGGATCGCTTTTAAAAATAGGAGATAATATGTAAAATGAATAATAAGCCAAAGGTTGTTTAAATTTCGTGTCCTGACGATACCAAATTTCCAGTAAATTAGTATCAATTATTTTATTTGGATAGGGTGGATTAAAATCTGGTTCTGTGAATGAAAACAAAATTTTTTTCAAAAAAAAAAAAAAACAACTTGAAATTAATTAAATAGTTTTCTCACGTTTAAGAAGTGAAAAATCGCTTGTGAGATATGGATTTGGTTTTGGTAAATGAATCCCTTCCAATTCTGGACGATTGTTCCAATTTCGTCTCCATTCTTCTGGAATTTCTATAAAGTAAAAAAATGTATGAAAAATTTT